TTAACGTCGAAGCTGTTCCGAGGTTTGGAAAACACCAAGTCGTTTTATGATGACATCTACGTTTTCACGAAGTCTCAGAGCATCGACGACCACTTGAAGGCGTTGCGCAAGTCATTAAATATCCTGCGTGACAACAAGCTGTACGTCAAGCTTGCCAAGTGTGTCTTCTGTGCCGACCAGATTCCGTGTCTCGGAGACTTCGTAGGACGCAACGGTGTACGGATGGATCCGGACAAGGTACAAACCATCAAGGACTGGCCAGTACCACGAACACAAGAGGAACTTCACAGCTTCCTTGGGTCGACTGGTTACGTCCAACGATTTTGTCCAGACTACGCAGCATTTACGGCAACAATGTTCACTCTCTTGAAGAGGAAGAACAAGAGGAGCGCGAAGATCCAATTCAATGATGAGCTGTTGAAGAATTTCAAGGAGCTGAAGAGGCGACTGTGTAATCCTCCAGTGTTGCACCTCCCTAACTTCAGCCAGTCCATGCATCTGCGCACTGATGCGAGCAAATTCGCTGTTGGTGGAGTATTATTCCAAGTCGTGGACGGAGTTGAGCGACCCATTGCGTATACCAGTCGAAAGATGAAATCCGCGGAGCTCAACTATCCAACACAGCAGCAGGAGCTACTTGCTATCGTACACGCGTTAGCAGCTTTTCGAATTTACTGCTTGGACAAACCACCGATCGTCGAGACGGACCACAAAAGTCTCGAAGGGTTGTTCACACAGAAGATGGCGAACCGCCGATTGGCTAGGTGGTACGACATTCTAGCTGAGTACCAACCCACGTTCTCGTATCTTCCAGGTGCGAAGAACGGAATCGCGGATGCATTGAGTAGCAGACCTGACTTGCAGCCAGATACGAAGTATTTCCATGACCTGCGTGTGTCCAGCTTCAACGACACTTCCTTCAGACTTGCTCTTAGTCAAGTGTCTACAGATTCAGAGCTGCTGAAGAGAATCAAGGGTGCTTACGTCAAAGATCGAGATGTCCAGACAATCCGGGCAGCAATCCAGCGACGTACAAGCACCTCAAAGTCGAAGGAAAAACACCAGCACCACAAGCTATACCGGTACTATTCGGAGGCAAACGGCTTGCTGTGGTACCAGTCTCCGGTGGATGACCATCCTCGAATCGCTGTTCCCAACGATGTGAAGTTGAGACAATCGATAATCAAGGAGAGTCATGACACCAACTACAGTGGCCATCCTGGTACTGAGCGAACGTACTTGACGTTAGTACGACGCTGGTACTGGTCCAAGATGCTCAAGTCGATCCAAACGTTTATTGCTGACTGCGAGCCATGTCGACGAAACAAGCCAAGGCTGACAAAGCCTCCTGGTTTACTCGAACCATTGAGTATTCCCGATGAGCGCTGGAGATCGATCTCCATGGACTTCATAACAGATTTGCCTAGAACGAAGCGTGACGTTGATTCGATTTGGGTCGTCGTCGACCGACTGACCAAGAGATGCCACTTTGTGCCGACAACGAAGAACGTAACAGCCGAAGGCGTTGCCCGTCTCTTCATCGACAACATTTGGAAACTTCACGGTATGCCGACGAATATTGTATCCGACCGAGATAGAAAATTCGTGTCTGCGTTTTGGCAACACGTCTTCAAGTCTATCGTCACGTCACTCAGCATGACAGTAGCACAGCGGGCCCAAGGCGACGGACAAACTGAGCGAATGAATCGAACGCTCGAAGAGTATCTGCGATGCTTCGTCAGTCCACGTCAAGACGACTGGGACAGTCACTTAGCGAGCGCTGAGTTTGCTATCAGCTCAACGGTGAACTCCAGTACTAAGCTCGCACCGTTCGAGGCAGATCTAGGGTATATCCCGCTGAAATCCGCTACAGCTTGCAGCGGAGCAGCTCGATACGGTTACAAAGAGTCGTCGAGGCACTGAGTTTCACGAGCGCCAAGCAGCTATTCGTTTTCGCTGCCGTGAAACACTTGCTCAAACGCAAGAGCGAATGCGTGATGTTTACGACAAGAACCGATAAGAACAAGTCTTTGAGGTTGGCGACGTGTGTACTTGAGCACCAAACACTTGGACCCCAAGCACACTGGTCTGCCAGCATCCACTAAGTTCGGTCCGAAGTGGATTGGACCTTACTCTGTTGTGCGGAAGATACACACCCATGCTTACGAGCTTAACATTCAAGCTGACAACAAGCTTCACCCAGTATTCAATACGGGTTCGCTGAAGCCGTACAACGAGTCGACACGCTTGTCGCGACCCAACGAGGTTGTACTGGCTGATGAAAGTATCGGCCAGATCGTCAAACGCTTGGTGAAGAAGAGGACACACAAGCGATGGACCCAATTCCTTGTGGAGTGGGTGGGAGAAGAGAAACAGACCTGGAACCGGTTGAAAACTTGTCACAAGTCCCAGATCTAATCGTAGAGTTTGAGGCTGCAAGGCGCAAGAAACGAAAGAGAAGATGAAGTAAAATCAACTTAAGGGGGGCTCAAAGACCTACATGTATTCCCGTACTACATCCCCTCCAAGTTGAAGCTACTGCTGCATCAAGCATCTCTTCCGGTTACGCGCCGTCTTCGAAGTGCGTTTGCCGTGACGACACACGTACCCAAGCTGAAGCTGAACACGACTAATCCACTTTACACTCTCAATCCAAAGGTAGTTCGAGAGAGGAGACACTTCCATCGGTGGATCGTGGTCAGCCGAGTACCCATCAAGCTCGACCAGGCGAGCGTTGGGACCAGTCTTCACCACGACGAAACAGTGACCGATGTCATCCTGGCCCGCGCTCACCAAGTACGAACCCGGAACCAAGGCTTCAAAGAAGTGGTTCAGAGTCGCAACACTCCCGATGGATTCATGAAGAATATTGGGAAGCATGATGCCGTAGTCCAACGGAACACGTTGGCGCTGAAGCGTTTTCCAGAACTCCGTGACGTCTTCGCGAGATACGCCAAACGCAATCGCCTCGGGACGAGTTTTTTCATACTCCTCCCACATTTCCATGGTAACAAGATTGGGCTGACCAAGATAGTACAGCGCGCAGCGGAGCGCATCCATGAAACACGTACCAGCTTCGGAAGCACTAGCACGAACGTCGTACCATCCCATGAATGTTATTTCAGAACCCGAAGCCTTCCACTCGTCGACATTTTGCATCATGTACCGCGTCGTTTGGGGATGGAGCAACAGGAGCCCGTACAGGCGACGATGGAGCAACAGGAGCCCGTACAGGCGACGAGGGAGCAACAGAAGCCCGTACAGGCGACGAGGGAGCAACGGGAGCCCGTACAGGTGATGGTGGAGTTACAGCACCAGCAGGAGCATCGACCATGGCAGTCGGAACAGCAGGGACTGCAGCAGGAGCAGGCGGCGTCGGCGAGCGAGGCGAGGGAGCGGCGGAAGGCGAGCTAGTGGCAGCAGCAGCAGACGCAGAAGGCACAGCCATCCCCCAGGACGGACCTATCCAAGCCCCAAGTAAACAGGCCCGCACAAGGCAGGCGTGGGTAAACGCGGGGTCGGACTAATCCGTCGGGGAACGGCACCTCTGGCCTTCAGCGCAATTTCGGGAATGGCAAGACTGAGGGGACGCGCACGCCAGAGGGAGGGTGAGTGTATCAGATATGATAGGTGTAGAGTTTTAGCCAATCAGAGGCAGGCTCAGTTTAACATAGATTCAGTATGTAATACAAAAAGACAGATGTAGGGCGGCTGTGGAACCTTCTAGAAGGCTCTAGAAGGTTCCATCCACCTGAACTGCGGGGGCGGCACTTCTCGTTTTGCGCGCCCTCCCCCAAGCTAGCGTTTCCTGAAATATACCATGTCTACAAAGGGTAGTACGTCAGCCGCGGCGGGCGGGCACTCTCGCAGGTTGAAGAGCCGTGTACAAGTGAGCCAGTACAAAATAAACAAGTCAAAGCTAGTGCACCCCTCTAAGGTTTCGCAAAAGGAAAGAAATGCGTTTTGAACCCTCATAGCTCAATCCCAGTAATTTGTACGTGGGGTCATTTAGAAACGAAAGTTGGGCGTTATATTTCTTAGGGCTTATGGCATAATATTAATCGCTCTCTAATAACAGGCTAATTATCGAGATTAACGTTTACAGTTTGAACACCGCCAGGGGTATTGCGAGGTATGATTTTACTAGTATTAATTCATAGTGAGTATTTATCCATTTTTCGTGTATATTTTAAGGAATACTATAATACATACGTTTAATTTTTTTGCTAACAGTGTACTGGTCCGCGATATGTTGACTATACGACTACTGTCAGGGTTTTGATCGATTGTATTAACCATCTCACTCATTGGTACCCAAGACTCTCGGGTACCTATCACTCTAGGCAAGAGTGATAAGTTATCACGACATGACGTCCACTCCGATATTGACCAGCATACTCAAAAACCATATCAACGACCGACTCTCGATTTCCCGGCTTCCCCGAAATAGAATCTCGATGGGAACAGACCCGTCATCAATGATTATGTAGACAATTTAAATACGTCGTGCATAGAATCGAATACATGTAGTGGTTACAGCGGCCCTGCCAAAAGCTCCGTTGTCTACAAACAGACCTTCGGTGCCTTTTTTCCCTACTACAAATATTACTTAACCAAAAGAACTTGTAAATTCGTTGAAGCGATACGTTTCTTTCACTTATTTGTCGTGGCTCGAGTGTAACAGGAACCACTTATTAGGAAATGGAGAGTTTTTTCCATTAAAGACTCTCTCACATAATAGGCTGGTCTTCGCTACTTTCCGCCCATTCCTGTTTTTATTGTCATTAACTCACTTCGGCGACAAAAGCTTCCACCATGAAGCTCTTCTCGATGCTGGTTCTCTACCTATTGACGATGTTTCCCAAGCTTTCCGAAGCTAAATCATGTGGCTCTCGTGTTCGTAAGGACTGGGAAATGATGACGGAGACTGAGAAGACCACGTACCGAAACGCTATTCGAGCTCTGGGGCTTACATCAAATTCGTCGAGTTGCACACGGAGATGACGTCGGAGAAAGAGGCTCATGGTCAGTGCATGCTCACCTACTGGCACCGTTACATGCTGGTGGCTTTTGAGAACATGCTCCGTGGTCAAGGTGCCGCCTACGCATGTGTGACAGTGCCATATTTCAATTGGATCACTGCCAGTGCTCGAGTCACATCGGGTGCTTGCTCGTCTTTTGGCAATTGTTTGGCCATCACGCAGGAGTTGGGTGGCTGGACTAATGGCACAATACGCTCGCTGTCAATTAACGGGATCAGCAACATCGGTCGATGTGTGAGCGCGTCACCGCTTGACCGCTTCTGCGAGCTCACCTCCACGACGGGATGTAGCTGTGCTCGCTGTGTTCCTCGCAGTGACTGGGGTACTGTCCGTGTGCCTTCATCGACTAGTTACAAATGTCTCCGTTAGTCGAGCAAGGCTGCCACAATCACGTACACGGTAGCTTGGGCAGTACGATGGGGAACTTCACTTCTCCCGCCGACCCAATCTTTTGGTCACACCATGCCATGGTGGACTTGTTGCACGTCACCTTCCACAAATGCCGTGTTGGAACGGAGCGATTGACTTTCGCCCAGAAGGCGTCACACCCGGTGGCTTGGACGTCGTGTGCTCGTCGTAATTCGACAGTCACCTTCCGACCGACTGACGAGGTGACAATGCGCACGGGGGAGCGGGGCATGAATCCTATAGCGGCTTCGACGGACCCTCTTATCGGTCGGTTCTTCACTGGAATTCCTAACCAGTTCGCTGGACTCATGGATACACGTGACTTAGGTTCGAGCAGCTACGAATACTACATCAGTGGTCAAGTGGCGACCATGTACACTCAGTGTGATGCGTCCCCGACGTCGCGTAAATTAGAGGAAACACACTCCAAGTCCATCCCTACTATGTGTGGTGTGCCAGATAGCGATGGCTACGACGAAAATGGAAACGACTACGCCTCGCTGAACAACTATCCCGAGACGGACCATCACGACAAGCACCAGGATGCTGTATTTGTTGATAGTACGGGTCGACCGATCCATGAGCATGCGTCGAGGGATGCATACGTATCTGAAGAATCAGAGAAAAAGGTGGTAGACTGGCACGAACAAACTCTCGCTGCTCTGGGTGGTGACTCGCAAGAGAACATGGACGATCTCGAGCGCCAAGCTTGCATGTTCGAGCACATTTGCTTGGGTGGTACCAAGGACTACTCGCCAGAATTTAAGGCGCTCTGGAAGGTGACGGAGCCACGCTGCAAGACCATCGTGGATGCCGTTCTCAACAGGGACGAGACGATCAAGTACGAGTCGTGGCGAGAGACAATGGAGCTGGCGTTCGGTTGTCCGGAGCCTAGCTACACGAATGACACGAGCGCGTACTCTGGTGGCTCCTGGGGCTCCTCTGCATCGGGTTCACTGTCTAGCACGATCACGAACGACGTGGATACTTCAAACGACACGAATCATTTGACTGATATGCTGGACAACGCTGAGGTTGGAACTAGCGTCATGGAAGACCCCGAGCCTACAACTGAAGTCGTGGAGATCTCGCCTGCCACAAATGTCTTGGAGGACCGCAGCATTTCTTCGACAAGGAAAAACTAGATGCGAGAGTTTTTGTGTCCAATAACTTGTCACAAGATTCATAGACCCACTATGTGACTGGTATAGTTTCTCTCGGAGCGATATGATATGATAGTTACCCCAAAGGGGTTTCATCGGAGAATAAGTAGCGGAAAAACTTCGCCGGAATAGCAAATCGAACGAATCAGATTTGTTGATTTCGTGGTAAAGTGATATCAACTTTTAAAGGTTTCCAGATGCGGATGGAGGCCATCGTTGCCTACCACACTACATCCGTCGCTTTCCAACCAAGCACGTTTACTTGTTGACCCAAGGTAGGTAGGTCAAACTGGCGCTGAATTTGTCAGTATTAATACGATCAGCTTCATCTCTATGACCTCAGCCCGGAAAAGGCTACAATAAAACTCAGTATCGGGCTGTTGATTCTGTGAACTAACGCCTTTACGCTATCTAGGCTCTTTCTAAAAGAATATCAAATATCAACAACTTTGCCTAAAAAGCCTGTTATAATTTCAAGTAGAAGATGCGGGAGTGCAAAAGGAAGAAATATATACGTCCTTAACGAGTTCTAAAATGTCATATTTGTCTTAAAACAACGTAAAGTACGATTATTCTCTGGGGTTCTGGCCTGGGAACAGATGCATTAACCACTAATAACCACTACTACGTAATAAACACTACTCTGACAACCAGTGGATTAGTGGTTGTCAGAGTTGGATATTATACGCTCCGTTAAAAATATTTTATTTTAAGCAAATCAAACTTAAAAAATCAGATATTGGATGGTGCGAAGAAATTTATTTTGCAGCTTTTCTTAAGCCTATTATTACTAAGCTTTCCGAAGCCTGATTGATCATCATGGCGTAGCATGTAATTAATGAAACGCAACGCAGAAAAGAGTAGAGAGGTTTGGGCATAATACAGTAGATAGTGAGCTAGACAAGGACAGTCGTGCGATTAGAAACAAAAGTACGCAACTGCATCCGATTTCTTAACCGAACGCGAGATATAGTGCAGAGGTGGTAGCAGCATCCAATGGACGGGAAATTTAAAGTTTGCGCTGGCGTAATTTTTTTTAAGCTCAGTGTTGTATCCATCACTAAAACTTCGTAGTATCATTTACTCGGACGCGTGGTCGTTGCCCGCGGACTCTTACTTACAAATCCTCTCCTTTAATCAAGTATAAATTCAGCGCGAACTGTTCAAGTGAGAAATCTTCAGTTGAAATATGAGGAGCGCAATGTCCCAACTTTGATGCGCTAAAAGTTGTCGATAAAGGCACCACGTCTCTCACCTCAACACTCGCTGGTAGCACCAAAAATGCCGCATGCTCCGCAGTCTCGAAATTTATCACTGAGAGACTTTCTGCCGTACTTCCCGCTACATCCACCACTTGAAACGAAGGCTTGACAGTCATTCCAGTCAGTAGAAAGCGAGGCGGCATGTACGTCTTGGCAAACACCAATGGTAACGTACTAATCATCTCCATAGAATGACTATCCATCTCGTCAAAATTACAATACGAATTTAGCCAAGTTGTTGAGATATCCCCCACTGAATTCGAAGCGATCGAAGACAGAGATAGCAGCATCGGCACGACGCCTCCCTGGTGTATAACCCCGAAAAACAGAGTTAAAACAGCGTTAAAAACAATCCATAGCAGTACCCCCAGTCGGTTTTTCGTCAAGAAGCGGACGATCCCAATTCTGCCATGTACAGCGGTGAAGAGATGCAGTGGTACAATGGCAGGTAGTAGAAACCTAGGCTCTTGGTGAGGAGCTAATGACAAGCAAAGCGACGGGAAAAATACACACGCACTGCCGAAGAACGAGCGATCAGGATAGCGCAAGAATTTCAGCAAAAACACGAGAAACACTGGACCAAACAGCATGGGCAGATTGACCGTCACATGGGTGAGTCGAGGGTGCACGCCGTGTAGCTCCAAGTTGTCATATTGCGCGTTGTATAGTAGATTGTTCAGAGGCGCCACCACGGCATTTTCAGCCATTTTCTTAAAGAAAATTCGGTCCAATTCGCCTTCAAAAAGGTCCGGACGAAAATAAAAAGTATCCACGAAAATAAGCAACGCCGACCACGCCACGAATGCAAGAAATCCTTGCATCGCGACGGCAATTGTGGCTGCCAAGCGACGCATTTGAGACGGTAGCGAGGTCACGTCTTTCTTCCGAGCTGCGACAACCAACAGCGCGTCTTGCTGACGTACCAGCTCCAGTCCCAGCGGGAAGAAGAAAACTGGGAACGTGAACCGCGTGAAGAATCCAATCGCCAACAAACTGCCAAGAAAAAATGTTTGGACGTGGAGAAATCCACAGAAAACACGCCGATGCTGTAAGAAAAAAAATAAGTTAGTATTGATAATACTAAAAATAATATATATTTTTTACTTACCGGATTTACGAGATATAACACGCCGAAGCATAACGCGAGGATCAGCGTCTCGAACGTGTTGGAGAACGGTCGACATAGAAACACCAGCGTCGGCCACGAGCTGGCGAATAATAACAGCGCTTTCTCCTGCTTCTCTCGCTGGATCTCTAATTTCTGGTGGCGACTTAATTTCCCCACGACGTGATACAAAATTGCATCGATAATAAAAGACAGCAGACAAAGTAGTAGTCTAGGAGTCACCAGCATCAGCCAGCCGGTCAACGTGACTCCAAGTAGCTCCAGGACCTTGTAAGGCAGTCCCGCGACTAGTGCACTGTTATAATTAATATATGTAAGATAATATAATAATTAATGATGTGTGTATCTTACGGGAACAGCACGGAGCGGTTGGGAGAAGGCAGCTGGAATTCCCAGGGTATGAACAATTCGCGGCGTAGAGTCGAGTCTTCGGGTAAGAAATGACGCGCCATGACCTCCTGGCTCTGGAAGAACTCGTCCGGGTGCACCATACCCAGCAATAGCACGCTGCCTGCCACTCTTAGCACGGCCAGCGCAGCATACAGCTTCATTCGCCCCATATTGGAAGATCTTTAAAAAAAATAACATCTGCCAGGTCAAAACTCATCAGCATTCTTCCGAAAATAGACACTTGTCTTCACTATTTCTACTTTCGTGATTTCAAATCCAATCCGAATTTAACAAGCGCCAGTTTTTTCGCGCCTAAAGCTTTCCCGCCCAGTTCGAAAAAGCCCTTCACAAAAAAGTCTGGGACGCGTCCACTTTCCCCTCCACAACCCAAAGGCTCAATGGCGGACGACGCATACTACCGCCAAGTGCTGGCGCAGATGCAGAGCGAGTTCACACGCGCTGTAGCAGCATTGGAGAAGCAGGTGGCGACGCTAACGCGCCACAACACGCTGCTATCGAGCGAGTTAGCGCAGACAAAGCAACAGCAGCGCGAGTGGACGCATGACGCCGAGGAGACCGTCACGCAACTGCAGCAGCAGCTTAAAGCCCAGTCCGCAGACGCCGTGAAGGCTCAGCAAGAAGCGAAAGACAGAGAACAGGCGCTTACACTCGAAATCTCGGCGCTTAAGAGCCTTCTACAGCAAGAACAGGACTACTGGACGAGATACGACGAAGCTGGCAAACAGGACCGGGACAGACTGACTAGACAACTAGCAGAGGCCAAAGCTGAGAGTATGCAGTACCACGAACAGAACAAGACGCTTAGGAGGGAGATGAAAGCGCTACAACGCCGTGTGGAGACCGCTGTGGCCACTAGCAACAGCTTCGAACAGCGACTTATGGTGGTGGTACAGGAGAAGCAACAAAGTGTACAGGAAGTGAACACGCAGTTGGCACAGTACAAGAAGAGGCTGCAAGAGAAGCGTGCGCAGAACAAATACCTGACTGAGGCTCTAGTGAGGCTCCAGGAGCAGCGACAGAGCGCCGACGAGAGCTCCAAACCTACCAAAGATACTAACACTACAATGACGAATATTCAGACTACAGACGAACAGCGACGCAGGAAGCGGGAACTGACGCTCCCAGAGGAGCTGAAACCTGCGTCTGTGACGTACAAGAGCAAGCGGATGACGTCGTCTCGAGCGGGGACGTCGCCCACGTCCTCGTCGCCCGAGATTTCTCCGCGATCAGCTCGTTCCGCCCCATACAAACGCCCTCTTTCAGTAGCCACCACGACGCCCACAACGTCGGATAACAACAGCTTTAACAGTAGTGGAAGTCTGCGAAGTCTGCGCAGTCTACGTCACGTCACGGGGCGGCGGATAAGCAGCAGAAGCAACAGTGACAGCGACAATATCGACGTCAGTCCAAGGACTAATGCAACAAGAACGAGTGCCACTGGCCGACTGGAAAGGGAACTGAATGGGCTGCGACGGAAACTGGACTCGTGTATTGCGGATGCCACGAAAAGGTGGTAGCTTAATTTCGGGACCAAGAGCAGGTCGAAGAAGAGACAGAGGCTCATTACCCTCTGTGTTCTCTTTAGTGGACCCTGACGTCAGAGACTCATCACTCTCTGTTGCGGTGTATCGTTGGTTAAAAGGCTTCTGGATGCGGAATTGCCAAGGTGCAACAGACCTTATTTGGAGACGTCAGCAAGCTCGGTGGATCGGGGCTCATTACCCTCGTTGAACACTGTAGATCCTGACGTTCTTTGAGTGAGGCGGTGAGTATGGGTGTGCAACTCGTGGCGGTCGATAAGGGACTCATTACTCCTTTATCGGTCACTGTGTTTGCAACTCTACTTGCTTCTGTTGCATTTTGGCAACCTGCAACTGGGAACTTTTTCACTTTCGGTTTGCTGCAAAATTGGGTCCACTCTTCCGCTTGCTAGCATTTATGGGTAGTGTTCACGCGATCAATTTGTGTAAATAGGGAACATCGTACGGACACTAAGGGTATTTATTGGAACCAGCAATGGATAAAAAGCGTTTTTCTTTCTCAAGCTTTGATAGCGCAAAATCTCTTTGTTGCTCTTTACTTCCACTCGATGCCTGACCCTTCTCCATCTTCTTCTCCATGTGGATGGTCTTCGTCTTCGAGGTATTCCATGAGTTCACTAGTGCCAAACTTGTCCATGTATTCGTCCTCGCTCATTTCTCCATAGACACTGTGCTTATCGTCCACCATTTTCTCCCAATGGTCTTCCAGATTCAAGATCCGACGAGTGTCAGCACGCATCAAGTGCACCACAATGTTGTTGCAGTCTGCAATCATCCAGTCGTCGCAGTCTCGGCCTTCCACGGCGTAGTCGAAGTCGTCCACGATCTCTCGCGCCTTCATGGACTTGATCAGCAGATCGGCCATACGTCGCATGTGCGCCTGCGATCGTCCCGTGGCGAACACCATGAAGTCGGCCAAGCTGGTCTTGCCAGCCAAGTCCACAGTGTACACGTCGATCGCTTTCTCCCGTTCCAGAGCCTGTTGCACCTCATCAATAGTCAAATAGATCTGAGAGATGGCTGGGATGATATCTGCGTGGCGGTTGCCAGCCTCTGGGGCTTCCCATTCCACTTGGTCGCCTGTTTCTTGGCTACTTTCCGTTGTGTCGCCCTCGGGAAAGTTGCGAGGCTCGTCCAAGTCGCAGTACAGCGCCACTAATTCGTCGTACGCTTTGGCAGCGTCCAGTGCTGTCCAGTAATCGCCGCCACTGATGATGTGGCCTTCGATTTCGAGCTCAGCGCTGTATTTTTTCACCTTGGTGGCGTCGAATACGACGCCCAAGTATTGAGTGGCTTCGGAGTCAGCAGTGTGAGTTGCATCATCGTCGCGGGGCTGCGAGAAGTGGCGGATGGGGACATTTTGAAGAGGACGCAGACTAGCGGCAACAGGTTTTGCTAGTTGCAGACCAGAGTGAGAGAGAACGCGCGACGTGGAGGCTGTTGCAACTCGAAGAGCGCGGCGGACGAGTTGCGACCGCATTGTGGCAATTTGCGTGGTGAGGACGCAAGGTACAATCACCTAAAAAATGTAAGGAAAAAAATTAATTTATTGTAGAATTGGCAACTTTAATTCGAATTGCCGTGCGATTTGCAGCTTTTATATTTAGAACATGGGATATACTGGAGAAGAGCAATTCGCCCCTGACGTTCTACATGCGAAACTATTTCACACCCCACATAAGCTTGAGCACGGGTCTGTTGAAATTTATCTTGCTTTGCCACAGCAACGCAAACACGGGTCTTTCCACGCTTAAGCACACACTCGAAAAATCCATTGCCGTGAACACGTTTCTATAACAACAGTTTCTCCGTGTAGGATCTCGACATCTCCTTTAAATTGCGCACATACACTTGCAAGCATGGGCACGATGAAGTGTAGTCGCTTTGATTCGTTACCGGAAAACAAATTTCCAGAAGCCTTGGTCGCATTTGAAAGGTATACATACCTGTACAACACACAAAGTTCTTCCTCTGGAGTAGGTGTACATTGCGGACGAAATTTTGTCGTTGGCATGATGGCGCTAATCACAGGGAACGAAACATGAAAGCAATCCATGGAATCAGTCGCCGTGTTCACTTTTTTGCTCTCATCAAGAGCCTCATTTAACGCGTCCTCTCGTCGTTAACGCGGATGTTGGACGTCTCGACCAACATCCAGTCTACGGAGGCTTAGCGTATCTTGAAGCATTACTAAAAGCTCGTAATTGACACATTGTGACTCACCAAATCACTCAAAGTGACATCTCCCAACATAAAAAATAAATAAAAACTATCACTGCCCACATTGATTGAGCGAATCCAAGAACAGGCAGATTATGTATAACGAGAAATATATTGATTGATTGATTCAGTAATCTAACAACTTTTCCAATACATCGACCATCCTTTGCCCTCGTCCTTGCTTCAAAGGCTACCAGCAAGATACAGGCCTTTATGATCACCATGCTTATGCTGCGATGGCGTCAATAATTTTGCGTACGAACTGAGAAATTCAGCACTCGGAGATGCGTCAGGTGACTCTGACTCATGCCCGATGAATTCGCATCCAAGATATAATGATCTTATCTTAATAAAGTGACAATTGTGCGGAATCCGCAATTGAGTTGCAAATAGCTCTAAAGTTTTTATGGTCGAAACTTACCTATCCCAGCCTTCGCGAAGTCCAAGCTGGCTACTTACACTAAGGAACAGGCGACTCCGTAGCACTAAATTATGATTTAAGTTGCGCCACAAAAGTCCAAGCTGGCTACTTACACTAGAGCATGCGACTCCGTAGCACTAAATTATGATTTTTGTTGCGCCAAAAAATAACCATTTTAAAATGTTGCAAATGTTGAAAACTAAAAGAAAAAAATATCATTCTCACCTTTTGTAACGGGGTACGTAGCCCTAAGTGTACCCTGGTTACATGAAGTGTGACACTTGTGTATGACACGTCATACTCCGGGATATTTGGTACAAGCCAACCATTGGTCAAACGTCATTGCATTTCAATAGGTGACTTATAGTTTGTATTAAACCCCAAACCTTATCCACCTATAAATATACTCAGTTTACAATCTACCTTATTTAGGTCACTTCGCTCTCTTTTGAATAAAGAGGGGACCTGTGAACTGCCGTTCACTGAGAGTTTGTATACTCTCGGAAGCTAACTTCCTCTAGCGCAAGGTGCTGTGTGACCCCGTCACACTTGGTAGCACTCGTAGTCAATCCACGCCACCGCGGGTAGACTACCTGAACCTCTCCGAAGTTCGTTGCCATGGATAGGAACGACTTCTCCCATATGAACGACTCTCAGTTCGAGTCGGTTCGGAATGGCAGGCATCTTCGGGATGAAGGCCCTGCAGAGCCTGGTGGTGTCAACACCGGCTGAGCAGCTCGAGCGCGTCAATGCGTTCGACGCGTACGAGCAGGGCCTCATCGCGCATGTGCGGGAGAGCCTGCAGGCTCCGGCGGCGGAAGCAAATCCGCCTCACCCGAAGCCAATACGGCTGAAGGCTAAGCCGTATGAAGGGAAGGAAGGCAAGAACCTTCCCTTCTGGGTCCGAGAGGTAGAGCTCGCGATGGAGGCGGCTCTGATCTCGACCGAGCAACTGCGTGTTGCTTTTACACTCTCCAACCTTAGCGGCCGTGCTAAGAGTTGGGTGTACACACGGGAAGCAACATCCCCTGGATGTTTCACATCCTGGGCTCAGCTGTGCGAACAGCTCCGAGCCGCGTTCCTCCCGGCGAACTACGAGTACCGCCAGCGTTCACGCTTCCTCTCGTGTAAGCATGGGAGGCGCGAACTGCACAAATATGTGCAAGAGATACGGGAGCTCACGACGTCCCTAGTGGGAAATCCACTCAACGAACACATCAAGATGACTGTGTTCATGGACGGCCTTCGAGTGGGCCCCGCACGCACTCAGCTGTTCCGGGTGCTGTCAAGCACCCTTTAAGAGGCGATTCAAGTGGCTCTTCAAGAAGAGTACAGCCATCGCCAGGCGCGTACGCCTGCCTCAGCATGGCCTGGGAGTTCCCTGTCGGCTCCCGGTCGAACAAGTCCCAACGACCCAGCTCCCATCGAACTCGGGTCCGCTCGAACAGCGTGACATTAGCTGCTTCGGCTGCGAGAAGATGGGTCACTTTCAAGCGCGACTGTCTCGCCGGAAAGACTCCGCAGACAGTCCTTACCCCAAGCCCGTCCTCAAGGGTCGCTGGCAGAAACCAGGATCCCGGGGACAGAGGAACGACGGGAATCAGTAGGGGGCGGGGCGCCCTAACGAGAAAGGTCTATGTCTTCGTGATGGGTGCGCGGGTGGCGCGTACCACGGGGGCTTAGCCCCTGAGAGTATTCGCACTCTCGAATCGGCGAAGAGCAGCGGCGGGTTGCTCGTAGTACACGGATGTGTACGGGTATACAATCATCCCTTTAGAATCATGATCGATTCTGGGACGCCGAAGAATTTCGCACGCCGCCAGACGGCTGCTCGCAACAGCAACAAGCTGTCCGATGCTTTGAGAGAAAGCAAGGGCAACGGGACGGTGTCAGTGCGACTGGCCGACGGGAAGGTCGTCATTGTCCCCAACGTCCAAGTGGATCTGGCCGTCAAGTTTGAAGACTTTGACAGCCTCGAAGAGCTCACTGTTCTCGATATGGATCCATATGATATGATCCTGGGCATGCACTGCCTTGAGAAGCACGAGCCCTGGATCGACTGGCGAGGCAAGGCAATCGGTGCCAGCCGCCCTGCGCAGTCCGACAGGGCATTGGTGAGTCATGTTCCCACCTCTGTCAGGACCCGGGGCGCCCGCAAGGGCTGCCAGGGTACCAAAGCATCCGGCAGATGCTTGGGAGTCGTCGACGTATATGACGACTCCGAGGATGTTTTGATGGTGGCAGCGCCCAGAAGAGGCGCTGGCCAAGTGGGTAACTTAGGTCCACAGGCGGATAACTTAGTTCCGCAGACAGCTGCAGCTGTCACGAACACTGAGAACAGCGTGTTCAGAGTGGGTAACAGAGTTCCACGCACGGTCGCCCAGACCTTAACTGAAGAGGAAGACGTCGGATACGCTTCCTGTGTGGGTAACACAGTGCCACACGCGGTCGCCCATACGTTAACTGAAGAGGAAGGCGTCGAACACGCTTCCTGTGTGGGTACCACGGTACCACACGAGGCCGCGAGTGCCTCGGATGTCGTAGCGCCGACATCCCTAGACGTGGGCAGCAAAGCTCGACGTCACGGTCGCCGTCGTCAACGACGCCGCCGCCGCCTCAAGTCGGATCCGAACTTCGTTCCGATCGACGTCGCTTCAAGCGACTCGGAGTCCAGAGCCCGGGCTCCTCCGACAAGGCCGGTGGAAGAGTGCTGTCACATCTTCGATGGCGAGACCGATGTACCCGTCAAGGCATCTGGTGTCCCCTTGGAACCATTTCCAGAGGTTGCAGAGATACTGAATCTCGAGGAAATGACGGCTGAGTCTTTCCTGGCCAACCCAAAGGCTGGAGAGATTGCTGAGATGGTACTCATGACATCTGAGACCACTCGGGAGGAGCTGAACTCCTCCTCCTCTGTCTTGAACGAGAACGTCCTAGGAAGACCTGAACAAGTAGCGTCAGACGCGCTTGGGTTCTGAGATCCTTAAGAACCCCAAGGATCCGGTGTATCCTTTGGTGACAGAGTATGCGGACGTGGTGAACAAACACCCATCGGCTCAACTCCCACCGGATCGAGGCGTACGGCACAAAGTATTGTGTCACAAGGCAATGACCTCTCCCGCGCGAACAGTGCGAGGTCATTGATGCCTTCTTCGCCGCAAAAGCGAAGGCAGGCATGGTGCGGGAGTCGAAATCCCCGCACTCGACGCCGACTTTCTGCGTTTGGAAGCCGAACGAAAAGTGGCGTCTGGTTCACGCTTATAACAAGCTGAACAACGCAACGGTGCCGGCCCAAACACCAATCCCACGAAAGGATGTGTTGTTGAACAACATGGCCGGGAGCGCACTGTACAGTGCGCTGGATTTAATAGACGGATACTACCAAATCCTGATGCGAGAGCGCGACATCCCGCTCACCGCGATAAGCACTCCAAGCGGCATGCTTTGGGAGTGGCTCGTCATGCCGCAGGGCTTGTCTAACGCCCCGGCGACGTTCAATCGCCTGGTGACGCAATTGTTCCGCCCTTTGCGTACCTTCGTACAGACGTACTTCGACGACATATTCGTCCACAGCCGTGCCGAGGGGGGCACGACGGCCATAGAGGTTCATCTAGGACACCTCCGTCGAGTGTTGGACGTAATGCGAGCGAACAAGCTCTACGCCAACATCGACAAGTGCGTTTTCGCGTCACCAGAGATTAAAATTCTCGGTTGCTTCGTAAGCAACGTGGGCGTTCGGGCTGACCCAGACAAGGTCAAGGCCATAGCAGCATGGCCTACGCCCCGATCCCAGAAGGATCTTCGAAAGTGGTTGGGCTTGGCCAACTACCTTCACAAGT